CATCCAAATTACATCTGCAAACTTTCAAAAGAAATCTATGGTCTGAAACAGGCACCAAGAGCATGGTATGACAGCCTTAAATATGCACTGCTAAGTTGGGGATTTCAGAACACCAAAAGTGACACTTCACTATTCTTTCTCAAAGGTACTGATCACACTACCTTTCTCCTTATTTATGTTGATGATATCATCATCACAGGTAGAAATAACAAATTTCTGGAAGCTTTTATCAAACAGTTAAACGTCGTGTTCTCATTAAAGGATCTTGGAAAATTACACTACTTTTTGGGAATTGAAGTACAAAGAAACAGTAGTGGCTTGTATTTAAAGCAATCCAAATACATTAGAGACTTGCTCAAAAGATTTAACTTTGAAAAAGTCGTTGCTTGTCCGACACCAATGGTAAGTGGTAGACAATTTACCATTTAGGGGGAACCAATGAAAGATGCAACTCTATTCAGACAAGCCATGGGAGCACTACAGTACCTAACCAACATAAGACCTGATATAGCTTTTTCTGTTAACAAATTAAGTCAGTACATGAGCTGTCCTACAATGGACCATTGGCAAGGCATAAAAATAATATTCAGATATCTTCAAGGTACCATTTATCACTGCCTACATATTAAAACATCAACTGATCTAGACATCACATGGTTCTCAGATGCAGATTGGGCAACAAGCATAGAGGATAGAAAATCAATTGCAGGGCACTGTGTTTTCCATGGTGAAACTCTAGTATCGTGGTCTTCAAGGAAGAAAAAGGTAGTGTCAAGATCATCAACTAAGTCAGAATATAGAGCATTGGCAGATTTGGTAGCTGAAATCACGTGGACATGCTCACTAATGCAGGAGTTAAAATTGCCCCAATTAAGAAAGCCTACTTTGTGGTGTGACAATTTGAGTGCCAAAGCTCTTGCTTCAAATCCAGTGATGCATGCTAGAACAAAACACATTGAAATTGATGTGCATTATATCAGAGACAAAGTACTGCAAAATGAAGTCACAATTGCCTATGTACCAACAGCAGATCAAGTTGCAGACTGCCTCACTAAAGCCCTCACTCACTCAAGGTTCAATCTATTAAGAGATAAACTTGGAGTGATTGCATCACCCACAATTTTGAGGGAGGGAGTTAGACAAGTCACTTAATGTAGACTTAATAGTATTAACCATACAAATCATATGTAATTAGAATATTTGATTTGGTGTTTATTTGTTACCTTATTAGTAGCTTTTGTATTAAGTTCCCTTTATTCTAGGATCACAAATGATCCTCTATCTTGTGTATAAGTACATCATCGTGTAATGAGAATATATAACATTCAAACCATTCAACTCAGATTTTTTCACTAAAACTCACAGTAACAACATCAACACAACAACAATTCAAAGACGCAGCTCCAAACAACGTCATCAACGAATAAACTCGCAATGAACACACAATACAATGACAATTCAAACAACTTGCATATACAGCAACACAAATTTAAGCAATTCATGTAAATCAACTCACTCTCATACGAAAGCGGAAAAATAAGAAGAAGACGAACGCAGAAACGAGAAGTAACAACGATATACCTGAAGCATCATCTTCAATCTTCACCTCGCAATCAAGCCCCACTCCTCTCATTTGTATGTGATTCACAGGTATAGTTAGTGTGCTTGAGATCTTCAGTTTGGTATTTTCAGTGAGAATGGATTCAATTTAGTGAGAGATTTAAAACAAGGAGGAAGAAACGACTGGAATGATGTGAAGTTGGTGGTGATGTGAGCTCCTCCGCCGATGCTGAGCTCCGGCCTGGTGGAGCGGTTACTATTTTCGACCATGTAAATTTTTGTGTGTGTGTGTGTATGTGTGTGTGTGTGTGTGTGTGTGTGTGTGTGTGTGTGTGTGTGTGTGTGTGTGTGTGTGTGTGTGTGTGAGAGAGAGAGAGAGAGAGAGAGAGAGAGAGAGAGAGAGAGAGAGAGAGAGAGAGAGAGAGAGAGAGAGAGAGAGAGAGCGAGAGAGAGACGCGTGAAGGAACATGAGGGCAGGTAGTGTTTTTTATTTTTAATCCTGGTTCATCTGTGACAATGGGCCCTTAGGCCCATTCTAATGTGATTTCCTCCTCACACTTCATCCAAACTATTCGCACCTCTCCCTCTTTCCATTTCTTCTTTTTTATTTTCTTTTCTTTCTTAATCGTTTTCTTTCATCTTTTATCCTCTCAATTTTTTTTTTTAACTTTTACTATTTATTTTTTTTACTTTAATTACATTTTTTTGTTAAATCATTCTTTATCCAATTTTTAGTCCATATTTTGTTTACCTTTTGTTTTTTATGTTGAGCATTTGGTTGATGAAAATTTAAATATCATTGAGTGTTGATTTCAAGAACGTTTGAATCTTCAATATTTTAAATATATTGATGAATGATCATTAGATCATTCTTGACACTTTGAGATAGTGATAGGTTGTCTTTGGTTGATCATTGAAACTCTTGATTAAACATGAGACCATTCTCTTTACTTCATCTTTTTCTTTTTCTTTTTTTTTTGTGGCATAGCTTTAGGAGAATAATTATTGTATTATTTCTCTAGCATGTTTTAACACAAAGATTGTTATTGACCGAGCTTAGATAGGTGTGACTTCTACATAAATTCACTCATTATTGCTTAACATAGCCTTAAATTGGTCTGGATTCGAGAAATCGATCATTCGGTCATTAACCATTAACAATTAACTTCTAACATCTAACTTTACTTTCTTCCTTTTTTTTTCTGCAATTTATTTCTCGTCATTTACTTTCCTTCATTATCATTCATGCACTTACTTCATATCATATTATTTCTTCCTTGTCATTTAATCTTCATTTTGTTAAAAAAAAATATAAAAATATGATAAAAAATAATTAAAACCCTAAAAGACATTAATCCCGGACTAAGGTAATTATCCCTTGCATGGAGTTTTGAACCTTCTACTTAACCCTAACAAAGGAGACTTGGACTGGATTTATTTATTTCATTGTCTTATCTCTTTAATTCTCATGGTGTTGGTGTCTTTAGAGTGTTTTATGGATACAACTATGTAATCAAACTGAGGAGTAAGTGATCTTAGTATCTTTTATATGATTGCTTATTCAGAGAGTGTTTTTCCATAAGACTTATTCTCATTTGTGACCATAATCACTCTAGAGATGTAATCTGGAACTTTCTCATTGATCTTCATGCTAAGATTCGCATTCTACTTGCATAGGGACTAAAGCTTTACTTTCTTCATTGATGTGTCACCACCGTAGCACCGCACAATTGTATCCTACGCCGCCTTCGTCGTCGTCAAATAAGCAATTTTCTTAAACTTATTCGTATCCACACGCTGATGGATATAGAACAACATCAAGAGAGAGAGAGAGAGTAAATTTCTGTAACTAATTTTTTCAAACTCTAAATTCAGAATTCTCAACCAGTTACAATTTGTAACTAACTTTGAATTTTATATGATAACCCAAATAAAACTCAAATACAAATACAAACTTAAATACAAATAAAATAAAACTAACTTGAATTGAATTACATTACAATAACATTTGCCTCTAAAAGAAGGTTTTAAAGCCTCAAAACATTATAATCTCACTATAAAGATTCATTGCGAATCAAACTTAGGGACATACTATTTTAACATTTTAAACTTCGTACTTTCAACCATCATTGATTTGATCGTTAAAATATTTGCAAATACACTTTAAACCATGAAGGACGTTACAAAAATTGTTCTTCCTGAATTTATTATCAGATTTATCACCACCAAAGATAAAGATTCTACTAAAGCACATAATAAGAAAAATAATTTTCAGAGAAAAAATTAAAACTTAATGATAAACCTTCTATTTATTTCAATGAATTTATGAAATGGATACAAGTATTCATGTGTGAGTGTGCACCCCTTCTGATTACTAACTTGCAACTAAAATATTTACAATCTAATTTTAAGAGCTGTTATTACATCAATACTTCAACAAGAAGCTTAAAATGCCACATTTTTTTCCAAATTAAGTTCTCATCAAATTTCACCAAACCTAATATATGTTAACTTTTTTTATAGATACACTTATTTCAAATTCTGTGACTCACTCTAAAGGACAAATATCCTTCATTTATAATTTACCTAACATCAATCACATACTCAAACTCTCTACAAATAAGTCATCCATGTCATACAAATCATACATGAAGAAACTTATAAGTTATATCAAAATAGAGTGTGAAAGAAGTGAGATAACAAATAACAATTATTGAATTCAAACTCATGGAAACATATTAACGGTTGCTAATCCGTGTTTGAATTTGGGTGGGCTCCATTTATGTTTTTCACTTCATTCAGCAACGCAAAGCTGGAAAAGTGTACATCTATTGTCTTCGTCTTCTTTGTCCATATTGCAACTTTTTCTTTTTCTTCCTAATCATGCATATAACTTATTTACTATTAAAATAACTGATCTCTCGACAAATTTATGAAACAGCTGTCTTTTACTATTTGGAAAAGATAGTCGATTTTGTTTACCATACTTGTTAGCAGGTTTTCTGGTATCAATATAGTTTGAAAATTTTTAATTAACTAATAATTTTATCACCGAAAAGATAAGGAAACTACACGATGAATGCGCTTCATGCAGAAAGTCAAAAAGACAAGACAAAAAACAGTATTTGATATATAAAAGTATGTATGATAAGTGTGAGCAACGAGTGCGCATCGCATGGCATGGCATGAGGGAGCATCATGGTATCATATATATGGACACCAACAAAATGGTTTACATGAATCTAATATATATTAAACACAAGTTGCAATATATATTATTATACAATCTGTTTCTTCAGATAGGAGTGTTTTGTTTTCAAAGAGTGCACTCTTAAGCAAAATAAGGTGAAAAGTAACAACATAACTTTCATTTCTATTCACTGTAATGTTCAAAATAATGCAGGTGTATGTGTGACAGTAGCACTGATTTTGATCTGAGAATGAGTGCATCTGAGGGAGCAGTGCATGTTATTCATTTTACTGATAGGCCTTTGGAAGAACTAAACAAGGTTGATTATGCAGTAGAAAGAAAGAAATCACTTCGTGCTCGTTATTATTTTGGCATTGTGTTCTTCATAATGAATCTTGTTGCATGGTTTTTCCGCGATTATGGGCAAAATGTTCTTCATTGGATTCATTGTAAGTAAACTTTCAATCTTTTCTCAATTTTAAGTCACTAGTGCTGAAGTTGTATTGTTGTTAAAGTCGTGTTGGAGTCTAACATTGCTTAGGTTTTCGGACTGTTATTGATATTTTTCAACCTTGTACAGATATTAAAGCTTGTGGAAATGAAGGAGATGATTGTTTTCATTCATTGGGAGTTCTTCGAGTGAGTTTAGGATGCTTTGTATCTTTCAGTTATGTCACAATTTCTCGCTAAACATAATAATTGAATGTAATCACATGCGTCGGTGTTAGTGTTAGTGTCAGGGTCAAATACTGAACATTTCTTTAATCTGAAGTGTCGATGATATATAGTTATATATAACCACAAAATCATTCATATTCTTAAACTTATATTCAAATAAGTTTATCATGAGAATGTGATCCTTAACAAAGAAGTCAGATATTTTTCTTAGTGATGTTTGTGACCACAGTAAAAACAAAGAAATTATGTGAAGGTAGAAACTCATGGCATTCTAGATGGTGGGAATTGAAGGCTGTTTTATTGCTTCTATCAATTGCATTACCATTCTTCATCCCTTCACAATTTGTTCAAGTATATGGTTGGTCTCTATTTTTTTTTTCTCTTAACTTTTATCAAATATCATTGTATAAGAATCATAATACAGCTATATGCTTTTGCAGGCGAAATAGCTCGTATTGGCGCTGGGTATATATTATTTTCTTGTTCAACCTTCATTCATTTCAAGTTAAAGTTGAAGATAACTAACAACTATTGATGTTTGCACAGGATTTTTCTTCTATTACAACTTGTGAGTGTGATCCATTTTATCATGTGGTGGAATAACTATTGGACCGCAGACGACGAAACCAAAGAGAGGTTAAAATTAATTTTGGTGAAGACTTGGCTTCATATAAATGTATCCATTTTGATATCTTTAGATCTTATTTGACATGGCACAGGTGCTCCCTTGGACTTGTTATGTCAACACTGTTTTATGTTTGTGCTATATGTGGAATTGTGTATATGTATGCATCATATGCCTCAAAATCTTCATGTTCTCTCAACATATTTTTCATCACATGGACATCAATTCTTCTTGCTGTAATGATGGTTATATCATTAAATTCAAAGGTACCTTATAATACTAAATATCCTAAAATAATTATATAGATTAAATGTCTGATGCGGTTGTAATTGCGGTTGCAGGTTAATAGAGGTCTTTTATCCTCAGGAATTATGGCTTCTTATATTGTTTTCCTATGTTGGTGTGCAATCAGAAGGTATGGTTCCTTCATCACTGTCTCCTTTTAAAATTTTAAGTTCCTTTTAGGCCTATATTAGTTTTAACTAATAATCTTGAAATTTGGACTTTTGTTGCTAATTTGATTTAATGTCAACTTTATATAATAATGGAATTTCAGTGAACCTGCCACCATAAGATGTGACACAAAGAACCATGAAAATGGAAATGGTAGCTGGATTACTATCCTTGTAAGTTTTTCAATCTTTTCTTATTTATCTACTTTCTCTTGTGAGAAATGTCTGGCGTCGACATGACATTGACACAAACGTTTCTTCTATCAGAAGTCAGACGTTTCTTCTATCTGAAGTGTTAGTGTTAAAAAGCATAGTAGTATAGATGTTTCTTAACACAAAACCTTAATAGTCTTCGTGTAATATGTCGTGTAATGTACATGTTCTCTTCTTCACAGGGCTTCCTTATTGCTATATTTGCCATTGTTTTGGCTGCCTTTTCAACCGGCATTGATTCAAAATGCTTTCAGGTGAATCCTTCTTCTAAGTAAACCCTTAATTTAATACAAGCAACTTCATCACTATGCCAACATCTTAAAAATAATTTTCTTCTTGCCATTGACAGTTTTCCAAAAACAAAGTTGAAAATGAAGATGACATTCCTTACAATTATGGATTTTTTCACATGGTGTTCTCCTTGGGAGCAATGTACTTCGCAATGTTGTTCATAAGTTGGGATCTGAATAACTCAGCCAGGAAGTAAGGAACTTTAATGTGATGAATATTTTATGCTTTATGAAAAAGTTTATTTTTTAGATTTATTGAAGAATCAATGTATATGAACATATACATTCATTCTTTAATGAGTTTTAAATAAAAAGTTTTCTCTTGTATAATGCACCTTTCCTCTATACTACTAGGTGGAGCATTGATGTTGGTTGGATAAGTACATGGGTGAAGGTTCTCAATGAGTGGTTTGCAGCAACTATTTATAGTAAGAGAATAATCATTTATGTTTACATAGATATCAACATATGTTGCAACTTTCACTAACTAACTTTCATTGCTTTGTTTATATTTGATTTAAACAGTATGGATGTTGATTTCACCAGTTGTGAGACAAAACAAAGTTATGGATAGTGATACAACTGCTTCAATTGATGCATGATGGACAATGGAAGAGTCATCAATATTTTTCTTCTTTTAACTTGTTTCTTGAAGTTGTTGTATGCTTCAAATGCATTTAACCTTTAGTGGTTCAAAGGCAAAACTAACTATTGATGAAATAAAATGATGATTTTTCTTCTTGCTTTGGCTGAAATATATTTTCAAATATAGCATTGGTTTTCAATTCTCTTTTTTTTTTCTTGTGGTTAATGTTTAATGTGTTTTAGAAATGACGAAGAAGAGAGAATTACTCATCTCACAATATGAAATTATATTATGTTTTGATTGATCCTAAGATAACGGTTACAAGAGTTTATATAGGATTTAAAATCCTACACTGAACAACCCTTAACTTTAATCTATGTCTCGTTCCATGTAACTAACTATAAAGTTTTTATTTGAAAGTTTGAAGGAAAAGGGAGGTGAAAGTTTTGAAAAAAATAAAAGGATTTTGATCGGGAGGATTTGTGTTTGTTCATAATACCAAAAACCTTTTAATTTGGAGAATTCAAATTTTATATTGGATGAGAGTTTTAGACAACTTTAACAAATTGTTCAAATATAATTTTTGTTGTTATAGTATTTTAAAAATAAAAAATATATTAAAGATAAGTATTATTTTATCATTATAAACAAAACAAAAATTAAAAAAATGTTCAAAAAATTTCTATATATTTTTAAAAATTTATTTTTCAAAATACTTTTTTCTCCTCCCCTCCAAACTCACAAACAAAACCTAAAAGAATATTAACAAACTCTAATAGACTAGAGTTTAACTTTTTTACACCATAGTTAAAGTAACAAATTAATTATTTCTCTTACATTCTCACCAGATTAGTGTGGGTGAAACTTACATTAATAAAATCAATAAACCTCGTAGAAGAAGAAGAAGGTTCGATAAAGATATCAATTTTTTAATAATCTCTAGAAATGTAGATAATAGAATATTTCGATCTAATGGACCTTACTAAAGGCTCAAATATAAATTATTAATAATACTAAAAAGAACAATAATATAACTAATTATTTGCAACATTCTCTTTCAAGTTGGTGAATGTATATTTATCATTTCCAGCTTAAACATGATTTTTTTCAAAGTTATTGTTGTTCAGCTCTTTCGTTAGAAGATATCTAAGGTTGTCTTTGGGAAAAGACATACGGAGTGCAAATAAAACTACAATCTATTTTTTCTTTAATGAAATGTTTGTCAGCTTCAATATATTTGGTTCTATCATATTGTATTCAATTATGGGCTACGCTAATAGAAGACTTACTATCACAATAAAGTTTCATCGGTTCATCACACTTTATCCTCAAGTCTTTTAAAATTAATTTCATCTATAGTAATTCACATATCCCTTGTGTCATTGTCCTGAACTATACTTGAGCACTAGATCTTGATACTACAATTTCTTTTTTACTATTCCAAGTCATTGTACTAAGAAAGTACAATAATCTAAAGTTGATCTCCTATATAGAATTAATCATGTATGGTTGTCATCGTTATATGCTTCAAGACTCACACTTCCATTTTTAAATAAAATTCCTCCATCAGGTGTTTCTTTCAAAATATTATACAATGTATGCAGAGCGCAAATTTTAAATGAATCTTCTTTGGTCAATGCATGAATTGACTAACTAAGCTAAAAGCAAAAGCAACATCAGGTCGAGTATGTGAGAGGTATATACCTTTTCTGACTAATGTCGGATACATGTTCTATCAACCGCAATATCTACTTTTGTGCTTCCCAACTTTACACGTGGATTAACCTGGAATATTTCCAGGCTTGCATGTTGTCTTTCCAGTCTCTTGCCAAAGATCGGTTATATATTTTTGTTGAAATATAAAAATTCCTTTATTAGAGTGGGCAACTTCAATTTCCATAATGTATTTCAATTTTCCCAAGGTCTTAATCTCAAATTCCTTGACTAAGTGTATGCTCAACAATTGTTGTCCTTCTTCTTCATTACCTTTGACTATAATATCATCCACATACACCAATAACATAGTTACTCTCCCTATTTTAGAATGTTTGATAAATAGGATATGATCTACTTGACTTTGTTTGAAGCTCAAATCTACCATAACTTTAGTGAATCTTACAAACCATGCTCGAGGCGATTGCTTTAACCGATATAAAAAATTTCTTAACTTGCACACAATGTTGGTGGCAGTATGTTCACGCAACCCGGGAGGTACATCCGTGTAGATTTCTTCTTCAAGTTTACCATGAAGGAGTACATTTTTCATATTAAATTAGTCTAAGTTCTAATTGTAATTATCTGCTAGAGATAATATCTGTAACAGTCCAATTTCGGTTTAACTAATTAATTTAGTTATTGGAATTATTTTAATTATGGGATAGTGTGATAATATGTTAAGTCTACATATTATGCTATTTTATCATTTGTAGAGTTTTGGAAAGTTTAGTCGAAAATATTTCGGACAGTCTCAATTAATGGTTAAGTGGATAGTCTATGGAAATTGATTGGAATAATAGGTGTATTGGAGGAAATAGAATGGAAAGAAATATAAAGAATGGAAATAGAAAGAAAAGATATAAGAGAAAAAGAGGAAAGAAAGGGAAAACGAGGAAAAAGGAAGAGAAAAGAGAAGAAGAAGAGGAAAAGAGTGGAATCATCAAGAGCAACTAAAAGCTTCGATTAATCCAAGGTAAGGGTGTGAAATCTTACTGTCTTAATCAATATGTTTGGTTATGTATGTGTATGGTTGATTGGTTAGAGTTTTGGAGAGTTTTCCATAAGCTTCCATTTTAGGTCGAAATTGATTCGATCGGTAGAATCCGAGTTTTAATGATTGAAAATGAGAATAAGTGGTAGGATTTAGTCGAGGAATGTTGGGTTAAAGCTACTGGAAACAAGTTGGGATTTATCGGTGGATTTCATCGGGTGTTTGGATTCTGAACAGTGAGAGAAAGTTCAGTCCGCAGACGCTCGCTAGCAGCTCGCTAGGCGAGCAAGTCGCGAGTGTTCGCTAGCATCTCGCTAGGCGAGTGCGTAGCGAATGGTCCCAGACTTGGGACAGTGGTGTTTTGGTCTCCTTCGCTGGCAGCGAATGGAGTAGCGAATGACTCGCTGGGGGTTCGCTGTGGCGAACGAGGTAGCGAACGAAGTTTGTAGCTTCTGTTCTTGCTCGCTAGCAGTTCGCTAGGCGAGAAGGTGGCGAACATTCGCTAGCAGCTCGCTAGGCGAGCGTGTAGCGAACGTAGCAGGATGAATTTTCCCTATCGCGTGGTGCCGTCGTGGCTTGGGGTTTCGGTTGCGATCGACCCTTCTTTGATTTAATAGCTTATATGCTGGTTTGTGATGTGCTGTGGGTAGCCGTAAGGCGTGAATCCTAGTGTATGAATGTGATTTTGAATTGTGGCCTTTGGGCAAATTATGCATTGTTTAGAATTGAATAAAAATGCATGGCAATTGTGATGAATGATGAATATAATACACATTGTGAGTGCATGATAATTGTACGTGTTGATGTGTGAAGACTGCATGATAATATATTTGCGAATATGTATGCATGGTTATATTTGATCCCGTGTAGGATCTGCAGAACCTCGCTTGATGCGATGGTTATATTTGATCCCGTGTAGGATCTGCAGAACCTCGCTTGATGCGATGGTTATATTTGATCCCGTGTAGGATCTGCAGAACCTCGCTTGATGCGATGGTTATATTTGATCCCGTGTAGGATCTGCAGAACCTCGCTTGATGCGATGGTTATATTTGATCCCGTGTAGGATCTGCAGAACCTCGCTTGATGCGATGGTTATATTTGATCCCGTGTAGGATCTGCAGAACCTCGCTTGATGCGATGGTTATATTTGATCCCGTGTAGGATCTGCAGAACCTCGCTTGATGCGATGGTTATATTTGATCCCGTGTAGGATCTGCAGAACCTCGCTTGATGCGATGGTTATATTTGATCCCGTGTAGGATCTGCAGAACCTCGCTTGATGCGATGGTTATATTTGATCCCTTGGAGGAGTAGCAGAACCTCGCTTGATGCGACGGTTATATAGTGATTCCTAGGGAAATCTGATGAGTTATAGTGTAACCGTTTAAGTGCGAGAGGAGTGAGTTCTAAGAGAATCTGACGGACGAATGAGTCGGTACCGTGGTTGTAGCTGCATAGGGTCGAGGTGTCGGTCTCTATGAGTGCACTATCATCTTCATATGATGAATTGAAAATAATGCATTGAGAATGTATTAGTGTATGTATATATATATATATATATATATATATATATATATATATATATATATATATATATATATATATATATATATATATATATATATATATATATATATATATATATATATATATATATATATATATATATATATATATATATATATATATATATATATATATATATATATATATATATATTGCGTCTGGTAAATATGAGAATGAGGTTGATGTATATGTAGAGAGATTCTACTCACTAGGGTAGAACGGCGATGCGTCGTTCCTAGTGAGGTAGTTACCGGGGTAGAATGGCCGAGACGTTGTTCCCGGTAGAGCATAAGCGACGTACCCATAGTCCGGAAAGAGGATTGAGGGTAGTGAATGAGTCTTATATGGATCGCATGGTATGATCGCGATTGTCATATGTAAATATGCCTATGTGCAGGAATTGATGAGATGCGTTAGCAAATAAATAAATGTGAAAGATATTGACCGATGAATAGACGGTTAAGTGTGAGGGATTATGTCTATGTGTATTTGATGCGGTGAGAATCTATGGTTATGCATTGTAGTGAATAAGTATGAGGTATAGGCATTCGGTACTAGTACATTTATGTATCTATATATATATATATATATATATATATATATATATATATATATATATATATATATATATATATATATATATATATATATATATATATATATATATATATATATATATATATATATATCTATATCTATATATATATATATATATATATATATATATATATATATATATA